GTCAGTCCATCTTGTATGGGGGTCCTGGCAGGACAAAGTTCCAAATAGAGTAGTCCTCGAACGAGCTGGAATTTTCAGCATGAATACATTACTGAAACAGCAACGTCTACGTTGGCTTGGGCGCGTCGTGAGAATGGCTGATGGTCGGATTCCCAAGGATCGCCTCTATGGAGAATTAGTGCGGGGAAATCGCCCCAGAGGGAGACCACAGCTGCGATACAAGGACATCTGCAAGCGGGATCTGAAGGCCTTAGGAATAGACCTCAACAGAGGGGAAACCCTGACATCTGAGCGTTCAGCTTGGAGGCAGGCGTTGCATCACGGCCTCTCCCAATTTGAAGAGACTCTTGTCCAGCAGGCCGAGGCAAAGAGGAAGTCACAAAAGCAGCAAAACCAGGGAGCTGGACAGGAGGCAGATTGGATTTGTCTTCAGTGTGGAAGAGATTGTCACTCTCGAATTGGCCTTCTCAGCCACACTAGACGCTGTTCCAAGTCCTCCGTACAGGGCACGATACCATAGTCTCTCGAGACTGAAGGATGCCTACTACTACTACTATTTCACATTTTGGCTCTATTTATTTATAATGGAACACCAGGAAGGTGGGCCACAAGCATGACACAGGATGGAGGAATTATAACTTAGTATCGCATCCTCAGTTAAAAGGATCACGTAGGAAAGAACGTGGAAGACTGCTCTAGGTCTGGTCTTCTGTTACTCACAGTAAACAACAGTTTCTAGATAAACCTAGACTAGCCTTGTATAGGGCAACTTTCTCTGTCTGAAAGATGATGGCAAATCTTTCTAAATCCGAGATATCATTTAGAACAGCAGTGGGCAGCTGTCGTGTGCCAAAGGCTTCTGGGCTGAAATCCCATTTTTCAGCAGAGCCACTGGTGAAGAACGATGGGACACAGAGTCCAACAACACTACTTTTAAGCAGGAACTCTTTTTTTAAAAAAGCACTTTTCTGGGCTAAAACTCCTAGAAAAGGGTCCCAACATAACTTCACTGTGAGGTGACTATTTAAGAAATCACTGTGCTGGGGAAAAGGGCTGGCTGACAAGGTCCTGCAGCAAAATGGAGATGTGTTTGCAACCAAACTAATGCACTGGTATATCTTCTATCCAACTCACCTTAAAAGAAAAACAGCAAACTTGAACTGGAAATCACACCAAAAGCTTTACTTCTCTAAGATGGGTTCAAATGGCAGGTCTCGGACTACCCGCATGCTTTCTTTTCCTTATATCTCTCTTTCTCACAAGGAACACCTCCCCTAGAAGTTACTGACTTTGTTTGAAGGGCACGAGCCTCTTTTATGCATGGCTGCAACCCATCTAGATTGAACACGGGCACTAATGCAGAACCACGGTCTGGCTCCTGCGGCAATATTAAAAAGCCAGTCAGAGATTTCCTGGAATTAAACGTTCATATTGGGTAGTATTTCAGTGGTCTAGAGATATAAATTTTACTGGCTGAGGTTTTTGTAGCCTGGGAGAGGAGAGGAAGAAACGGCTGAGTTCTGACCATCACACACATTGCACTTAAGATGATCCGATGGCTGCCACGCGCCACAGGGCCTAAGAGAGAAGAAGAGAAGACTTTGGATTCTTCCTCGTCTAGACTATAGGAAGGCAGACACTTCCTATAGCCTGGATAATGGGACACGTGCTTATTGCTCAAAGAACTGTCCTCTGTGTTTTGTGGGTGGGAGGTCTTCTCTTCTTTAGAGGTGAAGCAAATAGAACTTCTCTTTCATCGTAGCGAAGCTCCTCTGCAGTGCGGGAGAGGCTCCATGAAAATCCTTGCAGACATTTCAGCGATGGAGAATTTCAGAGAACGGGGAATAAAACCAGCCTCCTTGTGGTTCCCATCTGGCTCAAACCATTCTGCACAGCTCAAAAGCACAACTACAGGCTGTCTGCCCCATGCCTGCCGGCAATGGGATCCTTGAACACCTAAGGGTGACACCTGGCTCCACTGGTTCCAAGCACACCCCAGAACGTTTCATGTGCTGTTCCTACAACAATCACGTGACACTTTGTAGAGCCGGGACTTAATAAATGGAAGCAATCCCTCTCTTGATGTTGACTGCAATTAATCTCTAGGCATAGTGATTACAACCGATTCATCACCTGGCGGCAGGCCTTGTGGTGCCTTCTGAGTCTATTCATAATGAGCCAGTTGGATGACAGACATATACTCCACCCCCCGCCATAGCCATATTTGAAGTTTTAACAGAGCTTAAACTCAACTCTTTTCAAGAACAGAGGGTCACCTCCAAAGCATGAAGACAGAGCAGAGCAGGTCCCTGTGAAAACTGTCACAGGCTGACTTCCATTAAATGGCCCTCAGAAATCAGATATACAGGGGCATCAACACAAGCAAGCTTCTTAAAGAATTAGCCTATTGTTTGATGTCAGCCATCTTGGTGGGAGAGCGGCCAAGAGACTCATACCTGAGAGTGGAGAATCTTTTGTCAAACTGGCTATATGTACCGGTAACTATATGAACACCAAGACTGGATTATTCTAGACAGAAAGATAATAAACATCTCAGACTGAGCTGGCCAGTCAACGGAGAACTTCCCTTAAAGCAAATGTTTAAGCAGCGTGTGCTCTGCACTCTCTGCAGAGGCCGTGTGGGCTGCTCAGTGTGCACCCAGTCTTTTCAATAGAAGTCCCTCCACTTTTTTTTCTGACGAGCAAATGCCTTGTATGTCACAGTTCCTACAGGAGGAATCCCAGAACAGTGCCCATTCAGAATGGGTCAACCCTCCCCTCCAAATCACTTCTTGGCAGGCAATGTGGGAATGGCAGTTTTACATTCAGCTTCAGGATCTTTGTGCACATTTCATGGGCGAGCTTCTGTTACCTTCATGAGCATCTCAAGAAGGTGGTCCCAAGCCTGAAGACATGGCTTTTAAGGGTCTCTGTGTGTGTGTGTGGTTTTTTTTTTTAATCCTTCATTTCATTGTCTCATAATCGACAGAGGTCTTTGGGATCCTGGCTAAATATCAGGCCACATCAGTCTCCCTATGCTAATTTTGCTTGATGAGTTAATTACACCCTTCTTCTGCTCATGGGTGGGATTTCACTGCTGTGCAGCTGACGGGCTAGGAATGGAAGATTTTGATGGCATGCTGAGAATCCGCTGACAGCCGTCGACCTTGAAGCTGACTTCTTTGAGGCAACTAGGGATGCACTGCACAAAATGGGCCAGGCAGGCTTGGACATATCTGCTGTAATTTGGCTGTTTCATAACGATGCCACCACAACAGTAACCAAGAGCTCAAAACAGGGGCGGAGGGGACTGGGGGAGAGCTGGAGCAGATAATTAAGCATCTGGCCTTCATCATGAATCAATCACTCATTCAGAGCAAGTCAAGATGATTTAAAATCTAATAAGATCACATTAGGAGTCACCCTGAAAAAAACAGTGGAACAGAACCAATTTGGATTTCTTAATGAATCTGGGCACTCCGCTGGCACTAACAGGCACCTGCATGGCACAAAGCTCCTAGATGTCACTTCCTTTCAACCAAAGGAGACACCAGTCAATAGTTTCCATAATCAGCCTGATTTTAATGTCTAAGATAATCCAAGAGATCATTCAAACACCACTGAGTCATGAGACATGCCTAGGGTTAAAGCCTTCTTTTGAGTAATAGCGGTAGACTATGCCTTTGAATGACTTTGCCCATAAAATGTTCCATAATCCAGAAAAACTCTGTTAGAACGAATGTTATCCAGCTTGGGTGGTGGATAGGGCTCTTGCAAAGGATATAATGCCTGTCTGCACAGCTGGGTGAAGAACAGGAGTGCTCAGATGAACCATGGAATCTGCTACCAGAAGATGTAGTAATGGTCACCAATTGGACCACTTAGACAAATTAAGGGAGGATAGAGTAACCCACAGCTAATGGCAACAATGGCTACATGTTTGAGATCAGAAGCAGTGTGCTCCTGAATACCAGTTGCAAGAGAGACAAGAAGCAGAAGGAAACCCATACCCCAAGACAATAAGGCCAGCGTTAATCAGGAAGTGCCATTTGGAGATCAGAGCACAGTAATTTCATTGTAGTTGCTGAAGCAATGGCTCAACATTGGCCAAAACATCTTTCGGAAGATCAGCAGGAGTAATCAAGGGAGTAGCTGAGTGATATGGCGTAAAGAGAGGAGAGGAGAACTGATGGAACATTTTATGGAGAAAAAAAATATTAGTAGTAAATAATACGGTTGTTCAGAGAGAGGCATCCTTCCTTTCCATTTTATCTGTCAATCACTTCTGGCTCTAACCCCCCCAAGACACCCCAAAACACAAACCAATCAGTTGTCAGGTTATATTGGAGGAACTAAGAAGAAACAAATGAGAGGCAATTATAACGAAGATGACCTGCCATGTAAATAGAATTTTGCCATTAAATACCATTTATCGTGTTTAATTAGTACTTTCTGGACACAATGGCCAGAATTTACATACCGTTCTCTTTCTTTAGAACTTCTAATTATTCCAACAACCTACACTATTATGCTTCTCTCTGGGTTTTCTCCATCGAGCGGGCCATTTAAAGCCAGGAAGATTTTTTAATTATCTGTGCTGAACTGTCAAAGATACCTCTAAAAATGTGTGACTCAATTCTTCTTTTTTAAGGAAAAAGAACATTTTAAAACCGTAATTCTGTTCCCCTGAATGCAAGCAGAATGGCCTATTGGAAGGATCCATTTAAATGCAAATTTTCATATTCCAAAGAGTGCGTATATACACGTTCATCCTTTAACACAGAAAGGATTATTGCGTCTCCATCGTCCATACCACTGTGTGTTGCACAAGCCAGGAAATGTCTAAACTTTTGCACCCTAGAATGCACACAAAAAGACCCTTGCACATATACATTCTTGCCAACTACTTATCTGTGCACATGGCATATGAACCTCAAAGTCTTTGAATATGCGTAGAAAACACAGACATGTTGTTGATGGTTCAACTGTTGCTCACTTACCCAACATTCCCATCCCTAGCATAAAAGCATCCATGGTGTACGGTAATCCACGAGCCCTTCCTCTCGTCCCTGGCGGAAACATCACTTCCTTAGGTTGTGCTTTCTTACATTCCACCTATTAAGCAGAAACAGGCACAAATGAGATGCAAATGAATTCATGTAAAATGTAAATGCTGAACTGATCTGGTTAAGGGGGAGGGAGGGGATTATTTTTAGCACTACTCTTCCGTAAAATGTGAACTTTAAAAATAGGCCAGCAGCGTAAAAGTGATTTTTCAAAGAGTAAATATGTGTAATGTGACTTCAAAAGGTGTACAGAACAAACTCCACTGAAGCAGAGAGAATGGGCGCGGATACGTCACATTGCGGAAACCTGCCAATGCAATCTACTAGGAAAGGTGTACTCAAGTCTAGGGTCTAGGTAAGCATTTCCCTCCCAGCCTCCCGTCTCCCAGGATGATGCTGGCCACACTGGCTGTAGGATGATGGGACGTACATATAAACACAGCAATGAGACACCAGTAGTATTAGTTAGTTATGTGTTTTCAAATCAAAATTGACCTTAGTGACCCTACAGCTCCCCCAGTGAGCTTCCATAGCAAAATGGGGAGTTGAACCCTGGCCTCCAGAATCTAGTCCATCACCCTATCCATACACCACACTGGATACCTTACCAACAATACAACCCTGTACTTATAACCCATAGCAATAAGGAACTATTTCCTGTGTTCTTTTGATTGATTGTCTAGAAAAGTTTCTACTTTGGTAAGTCAAATGTCAAACACCCAAACCAAACCAAACTTGGTGAGTGAGAAATAATAATTGCGTTCCAGCAACTATGACCAAAACGTTGGTTTTGTGTTTGGAATGGTTATTCCTGCAGAGGAGATGCCTGCAAATTGTGCAAATAAAGGGTTATTCTCATCTTGTAAAATGAGTGAATAAAAGGATGTTCGTGCGACAAGCAAGCTACCTTTTGGAGCTTAACACCATTTTTGCGCCAATACAAGTCACCAGCTATTATAACCTTTACAGAATGCACAAGATCAGCCCTAACCAAGAGAAAATGGCAGGTCACAAAGGTTGAATTGGCCATTATTTTTAGTTGCAAATATCACTCACAGGAGGTGCTGGGAGCAGAAAGTATTATGGTGTGATTGAGGAAATAAACTGGTCCTGGGGAGCAGTTTGCAATAGAGGGGCTTCACAGGCCCTGCTCCTGGTTCGGCTGATACCAACTATGCATGCACCGAAGTGGAAAATATGGGGCACTCTTTTGCCATTTTACCCACAACAGAGATGGAGTGAAAACCAATACCTGGATCTGATTCCCTGTTTAAAACCCTTGATTTTTGCCACTGATCCAAGACCAAGATAGACAGTATGTAAAAGATGGAATCAGTTTGTTCTACAGAAGTAGTTCCCAGCCTTGGGTCCACAGATGTTCTTGCACTACAACTCCCGGAAATCTTGGCCAACGCAGCGAGTGGGGAAGGCTTCTGGGAGTTTTAGTCCAAGAATACCTCGGGACCCAGGTGTCCTGCAGTCCCAGTGAAAATCCTCCTTCCAACACTTAGGCCCAGAAGCACAGGTACTCCTGTTTCCTGTGGGACACAGGAATATCCACTGGGCAAGGGAATTTTACTGGGATTTCCGTTTAAGGAGAAGAATCTCTCATAATCCTGTTCCCAAGCCATGTTTCCATAAGGGAAGCTATTTCACTAAAGCATCATCCAGAAACAAAGAGAACGGCTAACATACGGTATTTAACTGGCCCCTGCTGTCAACATACTGTACTTGGAGGATCATGAACCTCAAAAGTGAATACAGATGCCCTCCATCGGGGGGGCATTCCTGGATGAGGGATCTGTAGTCACCCAGTTTCTAAGAGAGGAACTCAAAGGTGTTTGCAGTTTGAAATGCCACCTGGTTTATGCTTAGGCAGATCATGGTGTATCTACCTGGCTGGGAGGGACTGAAGGCACCGTGCAACGTGTCAACTCTGTGGATTTTTGGGGAAGTTACCGCTGTGGACTAACTCTGCTGGAATCTCCCAGCCGAGGAGGTCACAGGCAGCCAATAACAAGAGTAGCTCAGCACTAAGACCATAAGAACCTTATTTTGCTTCTTACTGGCATAGAGTGGGTACAGGACAGTTACTTCCAGTGGTAACTCCACTAAAACCTCTTTTGCCCTAGCCAGCACAGTGTTTTCCTAATTCCTCCCCCTCTCCCCCCCACTCTCAGCATTTTGCATCAATTAAACATCCCTTATCAGGCTGTTTTTCGTTCACAAGTTTGTCCACTGAGATGAGGCTCAAGTTCTGCCCTATCTGGGGCCTGGTTCGGTTCCATCCACTTTCTGAGCCCTCTTGCCCACTGATCCCCAGGTTTAAAAAAAGAAGTTTTACAGTTTTATGTTTGCCAACAGGAGCTCTCCCCCTTCACCTGCAGGGGTTCCCTACCCACACAACCAGGATTAGAATGTAACTGGCCATTCTGAGCCAAAACATCATTTAAAAAAAACAACAACATTGTATGTGTGAGAGAATACTGGGTAGGAGGCACTGAATGCAGGCCCTTGTTCCTTCCTTAAATCCACTCCATTTCCCCACTTACTTCTGGAAGCATGGGGGTTTCCCTGATCGTGGCAATACTTCCTGATGGTTTCTCAGGAGCCGGTTTTAGCGACAGAGCCACCATAGCTCAGCATCAGAGTTTGTCCTGTGTGTATGATGCAGTATTGATAACAACAGACTGGAGATTATTAATTTTTATTAATCTAACCGGGACTGGTTTTGCTCTGGGCACCCCATGTGCGCGAAGTCTAACAGGAAAGAAAGGTGGGCGTTCTTTGGAAGTGCAAAACAGGTAATTTCACAAGACAAAACCCAGAACAGAGGATAATGCTGCTAAGTGGCTCTCTTTCTAATAGCCCTATCAGTAACGGGATATTGCATTGTCTTGTGGCAACCAAATGCTTGTTCCTAGGCAACCCGTCAGTGAAAATTTCAGGTTTGTACAATTTTCATTAGGTAACGTAAAGGTTAACTGACTGTAAATAGGAGTATTTTAAACAAAACCACCCACTCTCTCTCCCCCCCCCTCGCTACAAAAACCTCACAGCGTATCTTATTTATTCAGTTTGCAATATTTCACTGAGCAATAAAAGCTTCCATTCTGCCAACAAACTTGTCAAAACACTGGTTTCTCACAGGCGGCTCTGCCAGAACTCTTGGCATGTGAGAAAGAAAAACCTCAAAGTGCCGCTGAGGGCTGTGCTTTGCCAAGGAAAGACGTCAGCGAGGATGCTCTGCCCAACCGGAAAGGGGACGAGTGGACAAAAGGCCAGCCATGCTGCATCCAGGGCCAAGGGTTTATCTGGACAAGGGGTGGAAATCTCAGCCATGATGCCAAAGCTTCCCGTAGTTGAGTGACGGCTGAATTTCGGACTGCCCCACTGAATTACAGCAGCAACACAGGGAGGAAAAAACCATTACAAGCAAACCTTTCATGGTTGGTTGCTGACATTCAGCAACAGCTGGAAGAAGACCCTGTTAAAGCTGGCATTTTGCTTGCTTTAAATCAGAGCTGGACCAGTGTCAATGATCCAGGGGCCGCAAAAGCCCTCACCTTGATCTTTTTGACCGGTGGATGTCTGCACATATTTCTATGCCTTCCAATTGTTTTAGCCTTTTCCTCCTCAAAAATCAGAAGGCCTTCTGCATCCTCTAAACGTAGTGGTCCCCAACCTTGGGACTCCAGATGCTCTTGGACTACAAATCCCAGAAGCCTTCAGCACCACCTCTGCTAGCCAGGATTTCTGGGAGTTGAAGTCCAAGAACATCTGGAGGCCCAAGGTTGGGGACCACTGCGAGTCTAAAGGGTACGAGGGATAAATGCCTCCCTTTCCCCACTCTAAAACTCTGTTATGACAGAAACTTTGTCCGGGCAGAACCAGAACAAGAAACGCTGCCCCCTCAAAACATGACATCTCTCGCTGTTTAATACTAGTGATATCCTTGGCTCAGGCAGCATTCACAATATGTTGTGAAAAAGAAAATGACACCTGCCCGTTGGATTTTGGCCACTAGAGCCCAGCCCTTCCTGAATTTTGGAACCTGAGGGCAGCAGCGCAGTGACCCCTGCAGAGCTGCCCGCAAACGTTGTGTGCCACTGCCAGGCCTACACAGTTCAAGGCTGCCCATATCCTTTCTGGAACAGAACTTTTCCAAAACTCCTTTCTTTTTCTTGTTTAAGAAGGGGAGTGCTGTGACTGGCCATCCATTCAAAATTTGTTTCCCTCAAAGCAGTCTGCAGAGATGTAACCATTCATTTCTGAGCAGCATTCTTTCGCACCTCTCTACTGCTTGCATGGCCAGAAGGCCATCAGTTACATCTTGCAGGCCCTTCTGTTCCACTGGTTGAGACTAATCTACAAACAACCTATCCTGCCTAGATGGACAATGAAAGGGAAAATGAAGTTCGGATTAGTGCTGTTAGAACAATAAGTGAAACAATTAGCTACCGGAGCCACAGAAAGGAGGTACTGCTGATATCTGACAGACAAGCTTAATGTATTACATTCATTGCATAAGAGAACAACACAAGGGAAATGCTAGTGAGCTGAGGCTGTAGGATTTGTTCTAAAAGAAAAAGAGGCTAAGGGGGGGGCGGCAGCAGCATGGAAGAGATATCTCTAAATAGCTGCAAAAATGCTGTGGGCAGTCTCCTTCCCTGACAAAGGACTGAACATCCTTCAGTCAGTAAAGGTATGAATCCTTCCTTTGAGACAGACTTAGATCCTCCAGAAGCAGGATTAGAACTGAAGCATCTTTGATTTGACAAACCAGCACCTTACAACAGGCAGAGTGTCCTCTCAGCAACCTCGCAGTGGCTCTCAGCACCCTGCAAGTCTCAGCCTGGATGGGCCACATTTCAGAATGCCACATGATTAAACACCCTCCCCATACCCAGATTCCAAAGCCCTTTAATAATGGATGGGTGCACATCATTAGCAGTTCTTTTAATCTAGTGGAGACAGGAAGCGACTTGTCCAAGCAGCAGCGCTGAAAATCCAACTTCCACAATTCATTTTTCTTTTTCTTTCCTGTCG